AACAAATAATCCCATCAAGAAATGGGCAGAAGACATGAACAGACATTTCTGCAAAGAAGACATCCAGATGGCCAACAGACACATGAAAAAGTGCTCCATATCACTCGGCATCAGGGAAATACAAATCAAAACCACAATGAGATACCACCTCACACCAGTCAGAATGGCTAAAATTAACAAGTCCGGAAATGACAGATGCTGGCGAGGATGCGGAGAAAGGGGAACCCTCCTACACTGTTGGTGGGAATGCAAGCTGGTGCAACCACTCTGGAAAACAGCATGGAGGTTCCTCAAAATGTTGAAAATAGAACTACCCTATGACCCAGTAATTGCACTGCTGGGTATTTACCCTAAAGATACAAACGTAGTGATCCGAAGGGGCACATGCACCCGAATGTTTATAGCAGCAATGTCTACAATAGCCAAACTATGGAAAGAACCTAGATGTCCATCAACAGACGAATGGATAAAGAAGATGTGGTATATATATACAATGGAATACTATGCAGCCATCAAAAGAAATGAAATCTTGCCATTTGCGACAACATGGATGGAACTAGAGGGTATCATGCTTAGCGAAATAAGTCAATCAGAGAAAGACAACTATCATATGATCTCCCTGATATGAGGGAGAGGAGATGCAACATGGGGGGTTAATGTGGTAGGAGAAGAGTAAATGAAACAAGTTGGGATTGGGAGGGAGACAAACCATAAGTGACTCTTAATCTCACAAAACAAACTGAGGGTTGCTGGGCAGAGGGGGGTTGGGGGGGGGGAGGTTATGGACATTGGGTAGGGTATGTGCTATGGTGAGTGCTGTGAAGTTTGTAAACGTGGAGATTCACAGACCTGTACCCCTGGGGGAAAATATATATATATATATATATATGTTTATAAAAAATAAAATTATAAAAAAAAATAATTATAAAAAAAAAACAGGCAATTTCAGATACGATTCATCTTAATAGAAAGATACACAACTAATGAATTGTTGAACATTGCATCAAAAATGAATGACATACTATATGCTGACCAACTGAACATAATAAAAAAAGGATGAAAAATAATGAGGAAAAATATATCTGAAATGGCACCCCAAAGGGAAAGTGATATAACTATACTTTAATCTAACAAAATTGGTAGGACTTTAATAACCTTTGAGGCAATATTATTACTTGGGATCAAATTGATACTATAGAATGAAAAAGTGTCCAATTCACTAAAAAAGACTATTTGAAACATTTATTTATAAAAAATGAACCAAACAAAATGACAAAATAACAGTGAAGTTGTAGAAAACTTGAGCAATATTATTAACAAAATTGACCTTATGTAAGGACATTAATTGAATATTTCACTCGGTGAATATAGAATAGATGTTTTTTTGCAAGACTATGTAAAATATTAATAAATGTAATGCTGTCTTAATGCCTATCTCATAATTTTCAAAGGAATGAAATAATATAAAGCATGTTTTTAAATAAAATACAATTAATTTATAAATCAATGACAAAAGATAAATACAAAATTACTATTTTCTTGAAAATTAACTCATGGTTCATAGAAAAATATAAGGATTTGGAAAAATTTGCAAACTATAAATAATCTATATATCAAACTTGTGATATTATAAAAATTATTAGGAGAAAAGTTACTACAAATATTTACATTTGAAAAGAAAAAAAGACTGAAAAATTATTAACTCAATGTACATTCCATGAAGGTAGAGAAAGAAAATCCAATTTAAAAAAGTAGATGATAATTGATGTTCCCTAAGGAATAACATGGAGGACATCAGGAGAAGGAAAGGAAAAGTGAATTGGGGTAAATCAGAGAGGGAGACAAAGGATGAGATACTGTGGACTCTGAGAAACAAATGGAGGATTTTGGAGGGGAGGTGGTGGGGGGATGGGTGAGCCTGGTGGTGAGTATTAAGGGGGCAGGTATTGCATGGAGCACTGGGTGTGGTGAATAAACAATGAATCTTGGATCGCTGAAAAAATAAATTTAAGTTAAAAAAATAAAATAATAAAAAAGTAGATGAAAATAATGAATGATTATAGCAGAGATCAATGAGCTAGAAAACAAACATGTAATAAAGATAGTTATTAGGAAAGCCAATTTGAGAAGACAAATAAAAAATGATAACACCCCTGGTGAGATTTCAGTAAGAATAAAAACACGTCACACATTCCCATGTGTCTGTTAGCCATTTGTATGTTTTTGTTTTTGTTTTTGTTTTTGGATAAGTGTTTGCTCATGTCTTCTGCCAATTTTTGGACTTGATTATTTGTGTTTTGGTTGCTGAGTTTGACAAGTTCTTTATAGATCTTGGTTCTCAGGCCTTTGTCTGTAGTGTCATTTGCAAAAATCTTCAATTCTGTGGGTTGCCTTTTTGTTTTGCTGACTGTTTCCCTTGCTGTGCAGAAACTATTTATCTTCATCAAGTCCCATAAGTTCATTTTTGCTTTTGTTTCCCTTACCTTTGGAGATGTGTCTTGAAAAAAATTGCTGTGGTCAATGTCAGAGTGTGTTCATCATCTTTAGCCATCAGGGAAATTAAAATAAAAACCACATTGAGATACTTCCTTATACCAGTTAGAATGACAAAAATTGACAAGGCAAGAAACAACAAATGTTGGAGAAGTTTTTGAGAAAGGGAACCCTCTTACACTGTTGGTGGAAATGTAAATTGGTGCAGCCACTTTGGAAAACAGTGTCGAGATACCTCAAAAAATTAAAAATAGAGCTACCCCATGACCCAGCAATTGCACTACTGGGTATTTACCCCAAAATACAGATGTAGTGAAAAGAAGAGCCATATGCACACCAATGTTCATAGAAGCCATATCCTTAATAACCAAACTGTGGAAGGAGCCAAGATGTCCTTCAACAGTTGAATGGATAAAGAAGATGTGGTCCATATATACAATGGAATATTATTCAGCCATCAGAAATGATGAATACCCAACTTTTGCATCAACTTGGATGATACTGGAGGGGATTATGTTAAGTGAAATAAGTCAAACAGAGAAAATCAATTATCATATGGTTTCACTTATTTGTGGAACATAAGGAATAGCATGGATGACATTAGGAGAAGGGAAAAATGAAGGGGGAGAAATTGGAGTGGGAGACAAAACTTGAGAGACTATGGACTTTGGGAAACAAATGAGAGTTTTAAAAGGGAAAGGCATAGGGGGATAGTTGATCCTGATGATGGGTATTAAGGAGCGCATGGTTTGCTTGGAGCATGGGTTATTATATGCAAACAATGAATCATGGAACACTACACCAAAAACTAATGATGTATTGTATGGTGACTACATAACACAGTAAAAAAATAAAATAAATAAAACAAAATAAAATAAAGTAAAATAAATGTTTAGTAAAAAATACATCACACATAATAATATTTAGAAATAAAACATGAAGCATCACTACAGATACTGAAGAAATTTAAAAAATAATATGAGGGTATTTTTAAAATCTTTGTTCTAATTCTGTAAAAATTCAGATATAATTTATTTAATTTACAATTTCTTGAAAAAAAAAATAATCTTACCAAAACATACCCAAGAAGAATTGAGAAATTCTGGCAGCAAGAGTGTGGTAACATCATATGCTTTTTTTGTCTATTGATACTTCCAAATACATTCATGAAAACTAAACAGAGAAGCTCAGATAACAAAATGAGAGGTAGGAGGGTAGAAAATATGTAACAGTTTCAACCAAATTAGGTGAAAGGAATCCCAATGAAACCTAGACTAGGGGAAGGCATGACCAAATACAAGGAGCCACCAGCTATACATGGAACCAGTCATTGTTCCATAATGGCACAGAAGTTTGAGGTATAGAATGAAATCTAGAAACACAAAAATGATAAATACCACCCCCACTGTAAGAAATAAACAAAAACAAAAACTGAAAACTAAGCAGTAATCTGATGAGCAAATCTGAGATAAACTAGTGTTATTTAGTAAAGTCCTCACAGGCTTCTCATTGCAAGTAAGTATGAAATTTATGGGGAAACATTAAATGGGATGCAATTTAGCAGCCCAAATCACTTGAGATCCCAGAAAGATCACACATTTCCTTTCCAAAGGACAAAGTTCTACCCCAAAGAATAATACATGGTAACAAAACCTAAATTAAGCTGGGTCATAGGAAAAAAACTGTTTAGAAATTGGAAAGATGTAAGGAGAGAAAAGGTATGGCATATGTAGAAAGAGTACTATAAAAGGAAAATGAAGTGATGTAGAACTCTGACCCACAGAAAGACAAAGATTAGAAGCCTTCTGGAATTAGACTTAATTCCACAGAACATAGAAGTGGTTATTTTTGATATTTTAAGATACTTTTATTTTTTTATTTTTATTTTTTTAAAAGATTTTATTTATTTATTTGATAGACAGAGATCACAAGCAGGCAGAAAGGCAGGCAGATTCGGGGGTGGGGAGGAGGCAGGCTTCCTGCAAACAGGGATCGCTATGCGGGGCTCGATTCCAGGACCCTGGGATCATGATCCGAGCTGAAGGCAGAGGCTTTAACCCACTGAGCTACCCAGGTGCCCCAAGATACTTCTATTTTTAAGAGTGTGCCTTGAGCCATAAGGTTGAGAGCTACTCTGAACTATTGCTGCTTCCACATAAGGTTCTCCTAATAGAACAAAGCAAGGACTTAGGAACATGTTTATATTAACTGAAGAGCATGCCAACAAATAATAAAACCTACAAGAAAAAAGGTGACAAAGAGAAATATAAAATGTGAAATGTAAAGATGTGATGAAAAATGTGACACTGTGGATACCCCTTCCCCACCATGTTTGGCATCTGCCTGCCCCACTTTCAGCATCTCTGTGTCATTGCCATGGACGTTTTCTGGCTCCTAGAGCTCTGCTTCTCTACTCCCAGAGTTTGAGAAGTGCCTTGGAATGAAAGCTCTCCTGGAGCAATCCTCAATCAATAATGGGAATTTAAAAATACCTAACTCAAACACCCTTAATGGAATACATCACAAACTTGCATGCCATCCTTGTGCAGGTGCCATACTAAGCTTCTCTGTATCATTCCAATTTTTAGTACATTTGCTGCTGAAGTGAGCATGTTCAAATGCCCAATCATTCTGGACAGCATCTTTGCTTTAGTGTCTGAAATTCTCCAGGAGGACTATGCTCTAGTTACCCAGAAAGATATTATTGCTAATGCACTCAATTGCCTGTTTCCTTCTTTTGCCTCACTTACTTCCATCATCCCCTCCCCATGTGTTTCCTCCATCTTTCAAATAAACTGGTTCACCTGAATCCTCTTCTTTTTCCTTCCCAGAAGGAAACCAAAACTAAAGACAAAAACTCTAGCCTAATATTTCAAAAGCGTTTAAAATGAACAACAATAAAAAAAAAAACTAATGGTGATGAATATCATGGTAAACACTGTAAAAGAAAGAGAAAACAAAAAAGGGAAGAGTACAATTATCAAATTCAAATGGAGAAAAGATAAAAAGGGCATGAGTAAAAAGGAATACAGACAGAAGACATACTAATGAATCATTGTACCCTACATCAAAAACTAACTGACCGTATAAAAAGAAAATAAATATTTGGTAGAATTCCTTGTGGGAAAAAAAAGACATTCAAGAGAGCTCAACATAAGTAATATGGAACTTTTCTGATAAAAACACTAAAGCAATGAAACTAGGCAAATATTTAAGACTGTAATAAATAACTCACAGAGATGAGAAAAAAGTACAGCATTGGGAATATAGTCAATAATATTGTAATAATGTTATACGGTGACAGATGGTGACTATACTTGTCATGCTGAGTACTGTATACAATTGTTGAATCACTATATTGTACACCTGAAACTAATACAATATTGTATGTCCATTATATTATAATAAAAAACTATAATTCAAAGAAATGATAATAGAATAAAATTATTTGAATTTACATATTGAAAGCACACTGCATAAGTGAAAGATTTCTGTCTAAAATGACCATATATTGTGTGAATTTCAATCATATGACATTTTGGAATGGGCAAAACTATGAAGACTGTAAAAAGAACACTGTTTGCTAGGGGTTGGGAGGAAGTAGGAATAAATAGGTGGAACACAAGATTTTTAGGGCAGTGGAACTATTCTGTATGTTACTGAAATGGGGAGTACACAGCACTAGAGATATGTCATAAGTCATAAAAGGTACAACTCAAAGAGTTCACCCAGTTGTACACTATGGCCCTTAATTAATAATAATGTACTAATATTGGTTCATATTAGTATGAATAATAATAATAAATAATAATAAATGTATCACCCTAAGGAAATATGTTAATGGTAGGAAAAACCATTTTGACAGGAAGAATCGTATTTGGGGGATGTTCTGCACATTCTGCTCAATTGTGTAAGCCTAAAACTACTATAAAAATAAAATCTAACATGAAAAAATGTTCATCATCATTAGCCATCAGGGAGATTCAAATCAAAACCACACTGAGATACCACCTTACACCAGTTAGAATGGCCAATATTAACAAGACAGTAAACAACAAATGTTGGAGAGGATGTGGAGAAAGGGGAATCAAACCCTCTTACACTGTTGGTGGGAATGCAAGTTGGTACAGCCACTTTGGAAAACAGTGTGGAGATTCCTCAAAAAATTAAAAATAGAGCTACCCTATGACCGAGGAATTGTACTACTGGGTAGTACCTTTACCCCAAAGATACAGATGTAGTGAAAAGAAGGGATATATGTACCCCAGTGTTCATAGTAGCAATGTCCACAATAGCCAAACTATGGAAAGAACCAATATGCCCTTCCACAGATGAGTGGATACAAAAGATGTGATCCATATAACAATGGAATATTACTCAGCATCAGAAAGGATGAATACCCAAATTTTGCATCAGCATGGATGGGACGACTGGAGGAGATTATGCTGAGTGAAATACGTCCAGCAAGGAAAGTCAATTATCATATGGTTTCACTTACTTGTGGGACATAAAGAATAACATGGAGGACATTAGGAGAAGGAAAGGAAAGGTAAGGCGGGGGGCGGAATCGGAGGTGGAGACAAACCATGAGAGACTGTGGACTCTGAGCAACAAATTGAGGGGTTTAGAGGGGAGGGGGTAGGGGGATGGGTGAGCCTGATAGTGGGTATTAAGGAGGGTATGTATTGCATGGAGGACTGGATGTTATATGTAAACAATGAATCTTGGAACACTACATCAAAACTAATGTTGTAGTGTATGGTGACTAACATAACACAATAAAAAAAAATCTGTATGGAAACCCAAAAAACCCTGAATAACCAAAGCAAGCTTGAAAAAAAAAAAAAAGAATAAAACTGGAGGTATCACAACCCTAAATATCAAAATACATTACAAAACTGTAGTAATCAAGACAGTAGGATAATGGCAAAAAAAAAAAAAAATAGACACCAGAACAATGAAACACAATAGAGAGCCTAGAAATAAGCTCACAATTATATGGCCAATTGATCTTTGACAAAGCAGGAAAGAATATCCAGTAAGAAATAGACACTCTCTTCAACAAATGGTGTTGGGAAAAATGGACAGCTATGTACAAAATATTATCACAAAACTAAACTCAAAATGGATTAAAGATCTAAATGTGAGATTTGAAATCACAAAAAAAAATCATAAAAGAGAGCACAGGCAGTAATTTCTCTGACATCTGTTGCAGAAAATTTTTCTGGATATGTCTCCTGAGGTCAGGGAAAGTAAGCAAAAATAAACAACTGGTACTTCATCAAGATAAAAATCTCCTGCATGCTGAAGGAAGTAATCAATAAAACTAAAAAAAGAACATACTGAATAAGAGAAGATATTTGCAAATGGCATTTTTTTGATAAAGGGTTAGTATCCAAACTATATAGAAAACATACAATTTCCACACCATAAAAACAAATAATCCAATTAAAAAATGGCAAAAGACATGAAAAGGTATTTCTTCAAAGAAGACATAGAGATGGCCAACACACCTATGAAAAGATGCTCAACATCACTTCTCATCAGGGAACTGCAAATCAAAACCACAATGAGATATCACCTCACACCTGCCAGAACAGCCAAAATCAGCAACATGAGAAACAAGTGTTGGCAAGGATGTGGTGAAAAAGGAACCCTTGTGCACCATTGATGGGAATGCTAACTGGTACAGCTGCTGTGGAAAACAGTATAGAGGTTCCTAAAATTTTTTAAAAAATAGAACTACCCTATTATCCAGTAACTCCATTAGTGGATATTTACCCAAAGAATTTAAAAACACTAATTCAAAGGTACACATGCACCCCAATGGTTATAGCAGCATTATTTACAATAGACAAACTCTGGAAGCAGCCCAAGTGTCCATTGATAATATATGATAGGTAGCTAGATAGATAGATAGATGATAGATGATAGATGATAGATAGATAGATAGACAGATACAAACAATAGGATAATACTCAACTATAAAAATTGAAATCTTGCCATTTGCAGACATGCATGGATCTAGAGGCTATAATGTTGAGTGAGATAAGTCAGTCATGGAAAAACAAATGCCATATGGTTTCACTTATAAGTACAATTTATGAAGGAAAACAAATTACCAAAGGGGGCGGGGTGGGGAGAAACAAACTTAACTATAGAGAAAAAAACTGATGGTTACCAGAGTGGAGGTGGGTGGAGGGGTGAAACAGATAATGGGGATTAAGAGTACATTTATGACGAGCATTAAGAAATGGATAGAAGTGCTGAATCATTATTTTATATGTTAACTATCCTGAAATTAAAAATTTAAAAATTAGAAAGCACTTGTAGAAGTATTTTCACTACTTTAATTCTCCTCACTTCACCCTAGGCTTCTATTGCTGGTATTACCTCCAATGTAAGGAGGTAGTGGAAGCCTGCACTGTCACACAGCTGACCCTCGGCTCAGGGTCCGAGATCTGCTCCTAACCAGCACTTGTACTCCATATGTTAGGTCCTCATTATCTTGCCTGGCCCAGAAGATATACTCAGTATGATTTAACTATTGCTAATGAGATCATGACCTCATTAACTTGTTGGGGGTCCAACAAAAAATAACCTAATGCAGTGTTTCTATGGGTGTTGTTTGAAGCATCTGGCCTATGAAATGCTCCCTGAAAAGGGCATTTCAGTGCTACATTACTTTGGGATCATGACATATTTTTTTTCTCTTTTAGGTAATCATAATACTCCTTAACATATTGAAAGCTCTGAGAAGTCTCAAAATATCTCCTTAAAGCAGCACTTGATGAACTTAGTTGAGCTAAAACCCAATGACTTTGCCTTGGATGTTGTTGTTATTGTCCTGAGTAATACTTTTACTAATATGTCAGGCAAAAGAAGGACACAGTGACCTAATTGCACCACTATATCACATCTACACATTTCTGAACAAGTCGCTATGTATTTTTTCATCTTTCCAGAACAGACATGTTACTTTCACTGGTAGAAGCTGAGGCACAGATTGCTTAGATAACTTTGCAAGCTCATTCAGGTGCAGACTATTCTCAAAACCTACTTCTTGGCACTTTATATTTTGTTCATTGTAGTTGATCACACAGATGGGAAACTTCCTCAATTCTTAATGCTATCTTTTCATAAATGAAGAAAATGTGACCCAGTGGCCTTAAATAAATCTGTCAATTTGCAAAGAGTGAGTAGGCTGGTGTGAGTTTGGAACTCAGGAGTAGCCCTTGCAGCCATTTCTCTACTGTAACCGGCTATTCCAACTTCCCCTCTCTGATTCTCATAGACTCCCTTGCTAGTCTTCTTTTTCCCTCCCCTTTTGATTTATTAGAAGGCCCATGACTCAGTCATTGGACTTCTTGTTTCTATATACATATGCTTCCTACACAACTCCATGGTTTCTAATATTCTCAATTTGCCCTTCATTATTCCCTCTCTGCCCTTTCCCACTCCTCTCCTTGCCTTGAAGAGCTGACCTCCATGGACTGCACTATGTAGGCTCCCCTGCCTCTGGCTTCTGGCTGTGTTCAGTAATTAGGAAATAACAGCAGGAGGTCAGAGGGCACATGGTCTGCTGGTAATATTATCTTGTCCCTTTATCTAA